TGACTTAGAGATCCTAATATAGGAATGATCAGTCCTCATAAATTGATAACATGTGAAGAAATGATGAATTCCGTTGCATATCTGGAGTCACGTCCTGCATAAATAATAGTAAATTATACTAATTTTTTTTGTACAAAAAAAAAATATACTAAAAAATTAAATAAAAAAATCATACTAATTTGTTTTTCTTTTACTCTTCTAATATGAGTAGAATTGTAATCCAATTCTGTCTTAAGTACTCTTTGTGTTATAAAAAGTTCAGTAAATTCCTATTATCTTTTTTTTGTTTGTATGATGTTTTTTTTTTCCGTTTATATTTAATTATTGGACCCAATGATACAATGCTGATCCGGATTCATTCAAGTGATTAGTTAGAGGGTAAAATTAATCTTATATTGCATAAGAAAGTGTATCTTATGTTGTGAAATAAAATTATGGTGGATCCCGTTTTGATTTTTTTTTAATGGGACCCACCTTGATTTTGTTTCACAACATAAGATTAACTTTACCCTTAGTTAAAATGTAATAATAATTCTGCTCGCATGATCAACTTTTTTTTTTTTAATTTCGTTTCTCTTCCTTATAGGCCTTTGATTAGGGCCCATCTTATCCCAAAGTTATATATAATCCAATTGGTGGCCCAGAAAAACCGATGCCAATGCAGGCAGCATAATAGATTCATGTGGTATTAAAAAAAGTAAGCTTGGGCCAATGTTTAATGAGTCTCATTAAGTTTTAGCATTTATATTTTAAATATAAAGATGCAACCAAAGGACACTGGCATTTCTGGTTAATATGGCAATTGTGAAAGCATATATCCATCGTCGTCCAGGTTCAAATGCCCGTAAAAGAAGGAACCTAAAGAGAGGATAATGAGGTATTCAAAAATACCTCTTTTTGGCTTTCATATTTTCCGTGTCATTAGTAATATTAATTTTCATATATTTGATTTTGTTAAAAAAAAAAATTTTAAATAAAAATCATATAAAATAATAGAAGTATGATTTTGATTAACAAAATGATATAAATTTTTAACATATGAATTAAAAAATTGTATAAACAAAAAATAACATTTTCATTAAATGCGTGATTTATAAACTGCAATAATTAATTACTTTTATATTTATTTAATAAATAAATCATCCATATTTTAACTATTATTAACTATTTGAATAATGTTTAAAAAATATAAGGAAAATGCATTTGTCATGTTACATTACAAATGAATAGTTGTTATGTTAAGAAAAAGACAAATAGGGGTGCTAAACGAACTAGGGGTCTTAGGCTCGGCTCGTGAAGGCTTGTGCTTACATGTCTATTATTGAAACCAAGTTTGGACTTGTATAAAAACTTGTTTAATAAAATGCCTCAGACTCTAATTCAAAAGCTTGGCCTCAAGTCTTTCAGGCTGACCTAGTATACTAACTTTTATTTTATATTTTTTATACTATTCATAATTACTCTCTCTCTCTCTTCAATCCATTTCACCTCATTTTATTGGTTAAACAAATTTTTTTAATATTTTGTTCTATATTATGCTTTTTTGGATATACATTAAATTTATGGATCTTTATGAAGTTATTAGTGTTGTTGATAATATATTTTGTTTGAATAAATTTTTGTTGTCTTATTTTTTTAAACAGGCTAAATCAGACTTTTATTTTTTATAAATAAGACAGGTCACAGTCCAATAATTATATTCATAACAAGTAATAAGCTAGGTCAGGCTGACATATTTAAACACAAGCTTAGCCTTTTAAGACCAAAGTCTGGCTCGGCTCGGCCCGTTAACACCCCTAAAGACAAGTTATTTACCAAAAAAAAGAGAGGACAAATTTAATTCATTGAATAATGTGTCCTCTCACTCTTTTAATATTATATAATTTATCTTTTTCTTAACGTAACAACTATTTATTTGTCATATAACATGACAAATACTTTTTCCAAAATATAAATATTTTTAATTAATTTAAAATTATCGCGTTTCAATCATTTACATTTTTACTTATTCAATGAATAAAAATAATAAAAAGTTTTTTTTTTTTTTTTTAATGAAAATACTTGTATTTGGTTTTAATAAATAGAAAGACTACCACGTTTACCAACTCCATTCGTTACTAAGATAGTGGGGAACAATGATCATTTTATCACACTTCAGCAAATTATTCACCAGACTATCACATCAATAGTAAAAAAATTTGAAATACCACGCGCCATAATTCACTACTCTGTGCAGCAAATTATGTTTGCAAATAATTAGCTTATGCCATGTCAGGCTGCACAGTCAGCAAAAATGACACATGTTAAGCAGTCAGTAATTCGCTACACTGTGTAGCGAATTATGCTTTGTATTGATGCCTGCTTGACACATGTAATTTTGGATGGAGTCTGACATGGCATAATTCGCTATACTGTGTAACAAATTATTTGCAAACATAAGTATAGCGAATTATGCCGCGTGACATTTCAAATTTTTTTACTGTTAACATAACAGTCCTGATAAATAATTTGTCCAAACATAATAAAATGATCAGCGTTTCATTTAGTGGTCCAATGGACCTAGCTATTCTTATTCAAGTTCCTAGCTACGGAATATTAACTGTAGATGAGCTAGACCATACGTGGTGTTTCAGTCACCCGCTTTATGCTTCTGTCTTAATGCAGATACATTGTTGCTCTTTGCACTGAAACAGCCTCTGCCTCTGGATTAAAATTTTGTACTTTGGTCAACAATTTGACTAGCAACATCGAATCGGCCGAATATTAATATAAATAATCACTTTTCCGAGTCCTGATTCAACTGAATAGTTTATCAAATATTTGATGTTATTTCATGTGGTCATAGCTAGTACCGAAAACGAGAACAGACCCAATTTGCTTGGCTCATAGCTGAGCTGTGATATGAATGAACGAGTCATATATGTGACAATAGCTAGGCCCAATATGGTTTAAATTTTGAAAATGTGCAGAGAGTGCAGTGCAGTCACTTTGAACTTTTGACCCATCTAATTAAATTTGATAGATTCTCCAGAGTGACATTATCGAATTCTGTTACAAAGGAAAGGAGCTTCAATAGGAACAATACTCAAAATCTCATTCTTCACCGAATTTTTTATTCAAATGTCATGTGAGTGAATAGTATTATTTTCCAAAATTCACGTGAATATGTTTATTGAACACTATAACGAACTCAATTTGTTAATGTGTCACATTTTTTATGGACACTAAATTTCCTATTTAGAGTAACGAACTTGCCCACATGGATATTGAAAAATAAATTCACGTGATATTTGAGTAAAAAACTTGATCAACAATGATATTTTGATCTTTGTTCCGCTTTTAGAAGGGTACCTGCTTTCCTCACACTACTGGATTTTGATTGACACCACCCTGTTTTCGATTCCCTGGTGTTAGCACAGTTCTTTTACCTGGAAACAGGTGAGTGAAAGTATATATATATATCTCTGAGGCCAGAAAATTTTTTTGGCGTTTGGTACAGGAGAAATTTTATTTGTCCGGGAATCTCAATTTTTAAAAATATGATTTTTACATTCAGTTTACCATAATATCCGAAAATTTAAAATTTAAAAAAATTCAGTTTCTCGGGAATCCGGCCAAATGCCGTGTACCAAACGCGCCATTTCTGTGTATGAGACCAGAAAAAATTTGTACTTTTTAATTTGACTTTTATGACGATTTTTTGAAAACATAAGACTCAAAGAAGATTCGAATACAAATATAGTCACTTAAGGCTTCTTTTGGTATGCGAGGAAAGAAAAAAAGATTTGATTGGGGGATGATGTTCATTCTTCTTTTTTGTTTGGTACCGCATAAATAAAGAGAAGAAAAATTAGTTGCGGGATAAAATTAAGTGAGTCAAATTAACCATTTTATTATCTTCCCCCTTTTGAGGGAAAAAAAAAATGGAAGCGAAGTATTGAATCAAACACTCCATAAGGTGTGGTCCTCAATTTAATTAATGACATTGAAAGTTAATGAATTAATTATATTCATCATCAATATTTTTAATGCTTGAGATTTCTTGCAGCTTTGTAGTGTCCATTTCCTTCTTAACCATTTTCGTTCCATTCCTTTCTCTTTATTTTTTTAGTGAGAATTAAGGAGATATCCTCGTTTAACCCGGTGACATATATAGTTCCACATTGATTGTATGTGCAATTAAGGTGGCCGTTATAAGACCTTGGACACTCCCACCCTTTAAGCTAACTTTTGGGGTAGTGTATCCCAAGATTCTTTACATGGTATCAGAATTTGAGTGACTATAAGATCATAAGTTCGATGCTCACTGCCCCCACTTTAAAGTGGAATTAAAATAAAAACACAAAGAAGTCAACCAAAAATTAGACCTGTGCAATATCCACACCTCAAGCCCAAAAGACTTTCATGTGAGAGGACGTGTTGAGATATATAGTTCCACATTGATTGTATGTGCAATTAATGTGGCTATTATAAGACCTTGGACACTCACACCCTTCGAGCTAGCTTTTGAGATAATGTATTTCAAAATTCTTTACGCAACCCGCTTCAAGCACCCTAAAACTAACTCTTCATTAATACAACGAATGCTTTGAATATATAGCCCCAAAAAGCATTACTCAGTCCTTCGAACACAGTTCACTATCAACAGTGAACACCCATTTAACACATAATAATTTCTATGAATAGTAAACATCAACTTTCAATAGATTTGATCCACTTTGGTTGAAAAAGTTAACAGGCATACAGCGAAAGCACACACTGCAAGGAAGAGTATGATGCCACGGCGTACATGAGAGAATCCAAAATGCCAGAGGCGGTGATCCCATTTTTCTATTCCCTACACAACCCAAGTACAAAAGCTGGTATAGCTTGGTTTGTCTAAAACCGGAAAGGCCTGCCCTTAGCCTTACAAAACCAGAAAGAAATAAAATGAAAAATAGAAAAAAAATACAAATAAAAAAGTCCTATAGAGATATTTAATCATCATTTCACTTGCTTTGTTAATTCTGCACCGGGTACCTCACTCCTGCTGCCAAAGCACGTTGTTGCTCAATCTGCTCATTACCATATCATAAACAAAAAGGTATCATAAATTGACTCCTATATGTCTAAATCATAATGATAATAATTTAATAAAACTCAGTATGGAGTGTAACTTTACTTGGAATAGTTCATGTAATTTGTTCTTGAGATAGCAATATTCATGCTCCAGCATCTCCAACGCTCGTAAGCATCTGAAATTTGGTAAAGATTAAACAATAGCTTTAAGTTAGAACTTGGCAATAACAATTAATAAATAGAACTAAAACTATCAACATCTTTGGTACTACGGATGCACCGAAAATTCAGTACATCTTCCACTTATATTGTAACATGTGTCTTTACTTTATATCAAATCACTATCTTTACTATTTTTAATATGAGTAGAAGATGCACCGAATTTACGGTGTATCTGTAGCACCAAAAAAATTTCCCTAGATAGAATATTTTTCTGAGATATGATGAAACCATTATTATAATTATAAACATACAGTTGTCTACATTCTTACTATTAGAACGTGGGAACATGAACATTGCAAATAAGGATTTAGTGCAATGAATAGATAAAGTGTAAAATATTATAGGATGGTAAAAAAATAAAAGTATAAATTATGCACCAACCCAGCACGGTTTTTGTGCTCAGTAGCGGCACGAAAGGCAACACAAACGTTTCTGACTCTCTTGGCGCCAATGCTGGAGCTGCTACCCATGAATTGATTCAAATGTATCCCTATTTTCTTATAGTCCGAGAACTCCCTCTCCATCCTGCACTCACACATTATTATTAATTATTCATCATTAATCAAACCAACCAAAGCGCATCATTTAATTTCATCATATATACACACAAAAGTTACAATTATTAATAATAACGTAACACAACATAGTTATCCTCTATAGCTATAGTAGCTTAGAACTAAAATGATCATAATTAAAAATGAAAATTCAAGGGGAGAAGAATTGATTATTACAGCAATGCTCTTAGATTCCTGAGAAGCTTCTCGGACTCATGGAAATAAATGTTGACAACCTCGGAGACAAAGTTTGGGGAAGTCTCATCCTGCAGCTGCTGAAGCTGCAAGAATTGCTCATCCAACACTCCCTGCCCCAAAAATTAAATAAAAAAACCATATATGACTTTTTTGGCATCTATATATATTATACAAACATGACGTGGCTATGTTAAAACTTAACAATGAAGCAAATGCTATTGTAGCTAACAACGTAAGAAAGAACAATAATTAAGGAACAAAGATGAGAGGAGAGGAGACGTAGGTTGTACCTGGTGGAAGAGGAAGGCGAGGAGGCGGTTCATGTCGGCCCACAAGAGGTCCGCACCCAAGCCAAGCATCCACAGAGGAAGACCCGTTTTGGCTGATTGAGGAATTCAACTCTCAAACTCTTTTAACAAAAATTGTTCAAAGTTTGAGAGTGGCTAGCTAGGGACCAAAAGAACGAGTGTGAAAAGTATAATAACTCTCCACCTTATATAACTTTCAAGTTTCTTAGTTGTTTTTCTTCTGTGGTCATAGGGTTTTGTGTTCCAGCTCCTATTGTTGTCGCGGGAATAGCACTAGTATTTAAAGCATTCGACCACATTCATTATTCTTCTGCATCTTCCATTCAATGTTTTACTGCAAAACCTATGTTAAAATAAATAACGTCTGTTACTGTTTGTTTCCATTTTATAATTATTTTCATTTTACACGAAATTTAAAAAATTTATTAAATATCTTCAATTTAAAAAATATATAAATTTATGAGAAATATTTTTCTTATATTTTAGGAAAAAAGTTACCTCATGTTGTACAAATAAAATTATAAGTGGGATCCACAGGTAAGAGGAGAGAGAAAAAAGAGTAGTGAGACTCAATACCTTTTTGAGTGTGTAGGAAAGTTGTTTATCTCATGTAAAATGAGATCAACATAACCCTAAATTCATTTAACTAAATTAACATTGTATTATATTAAGGCTCTCTCTCTCGGTCTCTCCTTTCATTTAGTAAAAATAGAATTAGAAATCAATAAAGATAAAAGTCAAAAAAGTAATTAATATATTATGAATTTTTTAAAGTAATAATTATTTTATTTTAAAATAAAGAGAGCAATTTTAATCTTTAACCTAACAAAACCTTAAGCAAAAATGGGGAATAGAGCGTGCAGGTTTTTGGGTTTCACGAGGTGAATGCGTGTTATCTACCGGACCATCCTACATGCCCGCAGGCGAAGTGGAGGCGGTACCTGCTGTCCCCGTCCCCGGTCACTTGGCATGCGCCTGTCCTTTGCAGGTTGGAGCGGCGTTGCAGCCTCACCTCCACCCGACAACTCCCTGCAACCGGTAACCTGTCAGTTACCACTCGTCCTGGCTACGAGAATTTATTCAATGCTGTGTTTTATTGAGTTTTCAATTTACTTCCACTTGTCTCATTTTTATTAAATTATTTTTTACCTGATATTATATTAAAATTTATATTAATAATATGATAAAAGTAAAATACATATCATATTATGAGTTGAAATAACATTAAAAATTTGTGCCCAAAAAAAAAATTAACATTAAAAACTCAATACAAAAGTAGCACAGAATAAATTCTCCCGGGCTATCACCTTCACCACCGTTAAATTACGAACTACGATATCTTTCCGTAAAGAACAAGTGAATATATTATAAAAAAAAAAAAAAGAACAAGTGAATAATATTTAATTTTTATTAGTATATATTAAATTATTTTATATAATTCTAATAATAAGAAATAATTAGAAAATAAAATCCCTATTTTATTTCATACATAAGATTAGTAATATTTTGAAAAAAAATAATTACACAATTATTGAAAGAAACTATTCTCGTACTACATAATTATGTCATTTTTTTTAATAGTAAAATTTATAAATTTATTTTTATAACATGAAATAATTTATTTTTTTAATATAAAATTAATAAAATTCATAATTATTTGTCACCATTCAAAGTTTCAAACCCACTACCACAAAAGATTACTTTCCCTTCAAGTTTTTTTCTGCTATTGTTTCCCTCTTGTAAGCTTTTCCACGTTCCCGAGGAGAAAAGGTGAGGTTAAAAAAAAACGCTTGCTCCAGCTGAGTGACTGTGATGGTGCATCGAAGTCAGGACTCAGAGCTGAGGGTAAGGTAACGCCCGTTGAACAAGGCTCTCAGTGAAAAGTTTAGGGCCATGGTGGCCACGTGGTGGATTATGGGTGACTGAGGTGGACTTTTGTGTCTTTAGAAAATAATATACACTATTTAAAAATATATCATCCAACACCTTAAGATTTTAGGTTGAAGTGATTCTTTACATGGTATAAGAGTTTAAGTGATCTCAAAGTCATGAGTTCGATCCTCACAGCTTCCACTTTGTAGTGGAATTAATTAAAAAGTACAAAAAAGTAAATTAAAATTGAGTTTGTACAATATTCACGCTTCAAGCCGAATAAACTCTTGCACGAAGAGATGTGTTAAACCATTTAAAAAACTATCACTTAACACCTCAAAATTTTGAGTTAAAATATTTCTTTACTGGAGGTAGCTAGAAAGCAGGTCCATGTTGATGTTTGAGAAGACTTCTCAAATGGATTGCCATTGGTAATGGGGCAACACGACAATACAGTTTAACTGCTAAATTGGTAATTAATTATTAATTAAAAGTTTTAAGGGTAAAAAAACCTTAACTTAGCAGTTACTCTGCCAGGAAATTCATGACAAAATTATATGTTAATACTAATATTTCAAAGGCAAATGATTACGTTTTAAAGATGCATATATACATGGAGTTTAATATTTCTTATGTTTCTATATATAAATATATAAAGTCTATATAAAAAGAAAAGAGAAAAAAAAAATCTTACATGATTTTATGTATATGTAAGAGATAAAATTATTTTCTATAATATAAGAAATATTAATCTCATATATATATATATATATATATGAGGTAGGATCTTTTGACACTGGTGTCAAAATCAAACGACTCTCAGATGAGGTGTCAAACTTTAAATTTGACACCGGTGTCAAAAGATCCTACCAATATATATATATATATATATACACACATGAGTGTGTGTAACATAAATGTAAAAAATAATTTTATCTTAATATATTTATATATACATAAATAAGTGTACGAGTTCTATTTTTTTCTTTTTCTTCTCTTTATATTATCATATATGAGCATCGCGCGCACATATATATATATATATATGTAAAAGTTAATTTTATCTCAATTTAAATTGTTGGCAAAATTATAATAAAGTATCTCTTATGGTCCACTAAATTAGGAGAAAGTATGTAAATAAATTATTCATACGGATTAATGAGGATGTGCCTCGCTGGGAAGAGAAGGAAATTCAAAAACACTCACACAAATGGAAAAGCAACAAAGAGATTTTTTATTTATTTTCGGTAAACAGCAACAAAGAGATTGGTTTTTGTAGAAATATATTGTAAAGAAGTACTGATGGAAATATAAATATGAAAAAGTTATACTGCTTTATAAAAAATAATTGAGTTTTGGAAAAAAAAAAGTTATAAAAACTGATCAATAACATTGTTTTATAATTTTCAATATGCAAGCTATGGGGAAATTTTTTTTGGATGGGTTTGAATCAAAAAGTAAATTAAGAATTAGGAGCATTACCTCTATAATAATCTAATTGATCAGTGAATATTCCAATTCCATTAATTAATAAGAGAGTCAGATAGAAGCATTATTTGGGGTATCCATATACTTTACATCCCTCTTTTATATCAAATATTCCAAAGGATGAATATATTAAGTAACTTAATTTTATTAAATACAAAATAATAAAATATTTTAACATTAATTTTTATGTATTTATATTTTTTCTTGATAAAATAAATCAAAAGAAATGAAGACTCTATTTTTTTTTTCGTAATACCCATCAAACCCTATAAGTGGATAATAAATTGTTGTATATTATAATATATATCAAAAATTTGTTACATAAATAAAGGTTTAGTCTAGCTACTTTGTATAATATTCATTTCTCTCTGCATAAATGTTATCTTATCTTACATATTTTAATATATATACCTGAATTCACACATGCAACCGTTAAATATACACTTTAACCGTACAATAGTGTTACAGCAGCCCAATCTCGGTTATGGGTTTACATATACTTAATTAGTTCTACTAATCAAAAAAGGAAGCATGTTAATTTGTTTATAATCACCTCGATGCTCGCTCGAAAGGCATGCTCTGTACTGACGTAAGCAAACTGATTAATTGACTGTTAAGTTTTATTTTTCATTTATTAAGCTACAACAAGCTAATAACACGGAACAAGTAATTTTTTACATTATTTTTTTAATAAATATAATGACTTATGCTCACATATAAAATTAGATAGTATAACAAAATTTCCAAATAAATATCTTTTACCCAAATAATGACAAATCAAGGAATCGGGGACAACAAATTAATTTTGATTTATTCTACCACAAAAATAGATCCAAGTCAACACGAATCTTTTAGTTTGGGACCCGATATTAAGTCATGCATGCTTTATACAAATTAAATTTATGCAGTATATGTATTTTTTATTTTATTTTTATTTTTGAAGTGCGAATGCCTGAATTGAAGCATGCTTTGTGTTGACGTAACCAGCTGCTGATTAAACAAACTAAAATTTCCTTAATTTATAGGAAGCACTTCTGTTGGCGATCATACCAATGTTTCAATTAAACTATACTATAGTCCCTGGACTCAATGCTCCCCCGTGCATATATTATATACGGTAGCTATTATTCAAATCTAGTAAGAGATGCCTTTTGTCTGTCTTCATATGATTATTGTTTCATTCCCCTAATGGCTTCGATGTTCCAAACGACATAAATAGCTTTCTCTTGTTCTTGTTCCATAGGAACCTAAAGTTGAACTAATGCTGTTCTACTATTATGTTCATTTTCATATAATTGACACGCCTGTGAGGTCATTAAGGTACGATGATTATGCTATAAAGGTAATGATGGAAAATTGGTGGTTTCAATGCTCGAGGTTGTTACGGTTATTCTTACTTCTTGGATAATACCCACCCTTTTCTTTTTGAAGAATCTACGAGAATTTCGAGTATCAACACAATAATTAAAAGCAATACTTTGTTTTTATTTTTCATTATTTCAAAAAATATTCATTGCTATGTGCATGTATTCAAGTCTGCGGCAATATATATACCAACAAAAATGGTTATAAATCCTAAGAACATATATATTTTGTTTGTTCCAGCCATATTTTGTAATAGAATTATTAATAATGAGTTTGTAAAATTATATTTTTCACTTAGTTGTAGAGTGTTTTTAATTTTTGTTTATAAGACACACTTCGGGTAATTAAGATTTTAGTAGATTGTATTAAAAAAATGGTGTCAAAATAATTTTGTGTCAATTAGCATTGCCAATTACCAAAATATTTATTGATTGTCAATTTGTATATCATTCCCACCAAGGTGTGCCGTGATATGTAAGAGTTGATTTTTATATCCGAGTTAAACGCTCTCATAAGAGATGCAGTCGAAGGATGATTCATTTTATAAGTTGTGCTTAATTAGAGTTTTGGTCTCCTAATGTAACATTTTCCTCTCTCTGTGTGTATAAATATATGGCCAAATGTGCTTGGTAGAGATCTGTTTGACCGAATGGTTAATCCTTAATCCAAAAGCCCGAGCGCATGAACAAGCCCAAATGATAATTCTTTAGCCCAAAAGAGGAAAAAAAGAAAAAGAAGAGACAAACTTGTGAACCCAAAGAAAAACAAAAAAGCAACTTAATATAGTGAATCTTGAATGTTCCAGCCATTATCATATTTTCTAAATTAAAATCATTTATTTTAAAATTTATCCAAATTTAATTTTATAAACTTAAAATTTTTTAAAAATAACTTTTTAATTTCTTATCATATGACTATAGCTCGAGATGTAAATGGACTAAGCCGGCCTACAGGGACCAACAGCCTAGCCTATATTAGGCCAGACTTGGTCTATTACAAATAAAAAAATAGAACAGGCCTATACTTTTAAAAAAAACTATTTAGAAAATAAGTCATAGGCTTTTTTGTACATGTCAAGCCTATAAGCCTATTGATCGACCTATATTATATTAATTATTTTAAATAAAAAAATAAAAATATTATTTTAATAATTTTGAATAATAAAGTAATATTATTTTAGTTACTGTTTTAATTGTCGAATGTTCAATGGGCTTAGACAGGCTAACATGCCTAGACTTTTAGTTTTTAAATATAGGTCAGACCAGACTTGTAATTTTGGGCTTACACAGGCTAACAGGTCAGGGCAAACCCTCTATTTTTTATATAAATATGACCTATTTAAGCCAAAATCTAGCCTAACATATTTAGACACGCATGAAAAATCATAATTCTAACCGATTAAAGTGTATGCGATTTTAGTTCCGTCACCGTGTAACACATGATAAATCAAGAGTAAATACCATTTTTAGTCCCTAACAAAAAACACGGTCCCCACTTTAGTCCCTTACAAAAATAAATTAGTCAGTTAGTCTCTAACAAATTCAAAGTGGACTCATTTAGTTGAAATCGTGTTCCCTCACAAATTCAAAAAAGACCCATGTTAGTCCCTCAAAAGGACTAAAATGGGTCCACCTTGAATTTGTTAGGGACTAACTGACTAATTTGTTTTTCTAAGGGACTAAAGTGGAGATCGTATTTTTTGTAAGGGATCAAAAAAATCTTTACTCATAAATCAACAATGAATACCCCTCGTTTAACCGGTCGGTGACGCCCAAAGAAAAATAAAAAACATGGACGGTGCACTCAACACTGATGAAGCTAGTGCTAATTGATCTACTTGCTTGGTGATTCTTGCACAACATTTGAAATACATCAAGTCAAGTGGTATAAGTTTTAAGAGTAAATACCCTTTTTGATCCTAATAAAAATACGGTCTTCACTTTAGTCCCTTACAAAAATAAATTAGTCAGTTAGTCCCTAACAAATTCAAGGTGGACCCATTTTAGTCCTTTTGAGAGACTAATATGAGCCTTTTTTGAATTTGTGAGGGATCAGGATTTCAACTAAATAGATCCACTTTGAATTTGTTAAGGACTAACTGCTAATTTATTTTTATAAAAGACCAAAGTGGGAACTGTATTTTTTGTTAGGGACTAAAAATGATATTTATTCAAGTTTTAAATAAGTTCACTTCAATTTAAACAAATCTCCTACCCTTTTTAATTAAACTCGTGTACTAATATGTGCCCAAGAATTAATATGGGTACATTTTCCATGCCATGACTCTTGACCACTTGTATAATATTTAAGAGCACCAAATGCCACGTGAAACTTTTGAGTTAATCTTTCATTTTATATATATTCCAAAAATTCATTTATTTAATAAAAAAAATTATATTTATAAATTTTTTTTCATAAATTACACCATATAATATGGGTAGCAGATATTATTGAGCATGTACTACCATAATATAATTTGTAAATATAATTTATTCCTAATTAATATCCATAAAAAAAAAACACAATTTGATTTGAATACTGATGGGACCAACATCTTTAAACGTCTTAGGGCTCTTTGGATGAGTTTTTTTTTCTCTAAAAGTTGATTTTTTTTTCTCTAAAAGCTGCTTTTTTTTTTTTTTTTGAAAAAAAGCACTTCTCAGTTTTAGTTCATTTGGATATCTGTTTTTTAAAAAAGCCAAAAACCTATTTTTTACAGAAGCTAAAAATTTTAATTTCTAAAAAAAGGAGAAGTCAAAAACCAAATATTTTTTTCAAAAACTAAATTTTTTTATAAAAATATAAATAACTTTAACTTTTGTAAAATGAACTTCTAAAATAAAAATAATAAAAATAATTTTTTTTAAAAGTGAAAACAAACGGATTCTTAGTCTCTTTCGAAGTTATGAGTTTGACTTTATAACATCAAAATTCGTGTTCGGTCAATGAACCTGATTTTGGAGAAAGCATATGGTTTAGCGTGCAAACTGTGGAGCAAGTTGCCTTAATATGAACTATGAAGCAGGAAACATGTGTCATTGTTACAAGAATAATTTATTCTATCTATATTTTTTTCATATCTATTTTATTTGTCTTTTGTCAATATTGTTATATTAGAATTTCAAAAAAAATTAATTAATTGAAATTTTGATATAATAATATTGGAGAGTGATGAATAATATAAACATGATAAAATAATTTATCCCTACTTATAATATGATAAAAAAAAAAAAAAAAAAAGAGAGGAAGAAGGTGACAAGCATAAGAAAAAAATATTCTTATGTACGTTTTTACATAGTCAAATCAGCACTCATGATTCACGAGGGCTATAAGTAACACTCAAAAGTACAATTCCCTACCAAAATCCTTTTGCCATCAACAAACACCTCTCAAATCCTTATTTTTCATTTTTATTAAGAAATTGTGTTTCATGTGGCCAATCTATCGTTCTTGAATGCCATTTTTTGCTTCTGATTCTCAGTGGGTACCTTCACGTCAGTGGCCAACCCAATAGCTTGTAGAAATCTCACAACGTACCAAGTCATGTCTAGTTGCCACCACTGTAGGCCATGTCGAGCTGAGTGCTCAAAAGCGTGGTGGTTATTGTGCCAACCCTCACCAAATGCAAGCAACGCCACCCACCTAATAAATAATTTTAGTTTATCTTTAAAAGATTAATTTGTGAACATAAATCAATCACCAAACAATGAATAATTCATAGTGTAAATTTACCAATTATTTCTTGATAAGTCCCTAGTGTTCCAGGCCTGCTTCCCCCATACATGGCAAGCTGAATTGACTAGCCAAGTGATGTGGTATACCCAAACAATCCTCACACCCTGCGTTCAAGTAAGTTTATTATAGAAAAATGTGTCAATTGGAATTGTCTTCCAAAACCATCATTTCTTCATGTTCCATTCCGAGTTATACTTAACCAATGAATCAATTCAGGAAAAGTAAGTAAAGTGAAAGAAATTGACATACCATTCCCCAAACAAGGAAAGGAAATCCTCCTATGGCATATACAAGGGCTCCCAAAGCAAGTGGATGAACAATGTAACTACTTCGGAGAAATCTATAAAAGAATTGTTTCTCTAAATCACCAACGTTGTTTGGCTCTCCGCACTGCACTTATATATCCCACAATAAGATTTGTTTGCCTATTAAGAAGAAAGAGACAGACAACAAATGTGTGTGTGTGTGTGTGTGAAAGAGAGAGAAAAGATCATTCATAGTTTCATACCCTTTCTATCACAGAATTGGTATCAAAGAGCCAACTCATATGACTGAACCAGAATCCTTCAGTAGGGCTATGTGGGTCTCTCTCAGAATCACAGAACTGGTGGTGGTACCTATGTGTGCTCACCCAATCAATTGGATTCCCCTGCATACCACAACAGTTTTCTATTCATTCAGCCAAAAACCAATGAGAGAGAATCACAAAAAGTGAAGGTTTTCAAGAAAGAAAATTTCCACCTGAAGAGCCAGAACCCCACAATAGGCAAAGAAATATTCAAGCCATTTGGGAACCTTAAAACTCCTATGAGAAAGATTCCTATGAAAAGATAGTGTGATACCAAAAAGTCCAGTCACAACATATAGTGCCACTGCCACCCAAAAAGCTGGCCAATTGAATTGGAATGGCGCAAAGAGGCTAAGCACATGCATTGCCAAAACAATACCAGCAGTGGCAACATCCAATGAGTTCCATTTCCTACCAAAGAACACTCTCCTTTCTCTCTTCACTTCCACGTCCGATAACAAAATCCTTCTATGCTTCAGAGTCCCCTGTTCTGGTTCCAATGTTTCTCCAATTGCTGCATTGGCTTTGGCTAACAGTGTTAGATTATAGGTAAAGGGGTTGTTTTTCAGGGAAAGTTTGCTTGACTTTGAGTTAAAGTTACCAACTTTAATGGCCTTGGCATTTTGAGAGAAGGACCCAAGACCAACTACGGACCTATCCAACCGTGGAATTGCACGGTGAAAGGTGGTTAAGCGATGGAAAATTGGGTTTTTTGTCTGTGATGTTATCAGAGCCATGAAGGAAAAGTTTGTGTTTACTCTTTCTACTTGTACAGGGCAAAGCTCCTGTGAAGTGTGAACTAAAACCGTGGCCTTAGAGTCGAAGTTGAAGTTCTTTGGTGGATTTTGGGTTTAGGCTTTTTATGCTGTGGACTTGTGGGGTTGATTGTGATGTGCAAGTAACCAAGCACTTGTGGAGGCCGTTTTTTTTGGGGGAAAATGGGGTTTGACGAAAATGTGGACCGAAGTAGAGAGAGAGAGAGAGGATAAGGCTGTGTACCCGGGAAGGGTATTGGCTTAAGAATGAGATTGGTGATATTGGAGGAAAATAAGGTCCAGAATTCCAGATATCTTCAATGCTTAGATAAACCTTATTCCTTTGTTTTTAGTGTTAAAACACTTATTATGTTAGTGATGAATTCGACACTTGTTAAAAAAAACTTTCCATGCAAAATGAAAGGTTACTTTGTAGAAATTTTAAAAGGAGTCGGTTATTAGAAATTTTAAAAGGAGTCGATTATCTTCTGATATTTTTCTAAAAAATTGGTGTTATTGATATGTCTTTTGTATTTTGACACCTCTCACTTTCGCGCACCAGATCATCTTCTGTATATTTGTAATATGTATATCTGTTATTCAATTGTAATATGTATATATGTTATTCAACAAGTAATACTTGGATAAAAAAAATATTTTTCTCTACTTTTCATACAATCATGACAGTCATTTTTTTTTTTATTGGATAGATATACCGAATGAATGGTACAATACCATAAATATTTCACTCACGCACACTGAAATATCATTTATCTATGGACATGTTCAGTTGTTAAATTGAGCTACAACTCTTCTGTACTCTTTAGCTGCTTGCTTTATTCCAATCCAATAGTAAGCAGGCACAAAAAACATGGCTGCAACGAACGCGTCAATCTTTGCGTCTTCCACGCAAACATGCTTGCCTATGCAGGCCGTTTCTCATTCAAACACGCTTGGTCAGTCTCTCTATTACACGTTTATTTTGTTTTTTTTATTGCATCCTTGTCTACACCATCTTTTACATGGACGGATTAATTTTTAAACCTCTAGGATTTAGCTGCAGAGAAAACAATACTAACAGTTCAAAGGGACCATGTGAGTCATGGACAATTTCATATTTGTGCTGACTAAGTTTATTGTTCAGTGAGAGTTCTAGAAGAAAGTTCCTCCACCAATGTAGGAATCAGAATAAATTATCAGTATATTGAGATTGAATTAGAACTTTAATAAAGCTAAAATAAGTTCAGCAATTCTTTCCCTTAAAGGGCTCAAAGATGAGAGTTCCTATTTCTAAATTTTTTGGGAAAGAAGTAGCTGTTAGGGTTGTTATAATTCATTCAAATTCCAAAAGTTTCATACTACAAAATCCTCTCATTATCACCCTAGAAAGGCTTTGCTAAATTATAGCTACAGAATATACTCATTGAGGACTGATAAGTCCATAAAATGTGACTTGAAACATGCAGTTTTAATATGAAAATGTAAATGAAATGAGTATCTTGTGTATAATATTAGCCCCAAATGATTTGAGTTGAATGATTCCATTTTAAAGTGCTAATAGGCTTTTGTTTGTAATTTTCAGGCCCACTTGTTGATACTACCCAAGTAAAGAAAGGAACAAAAAGAAGGCAAAGAGTTGGGTTGAACCTTTACACTACAAGCAGAAGAGACAAGGAAAGAAAGAAAAGTAAAGGAAGAAGAAAGAAAAGAATAAAAAAATCAAGAAAAGAAAGAATGGGCTGATCTTTTGAAAGGCAAGTCAGAAGTCCAAATTGAAGAAAAGAAAAGAGTTTGAAAGAAAGGCAACGCAGCTTTGACACAAGAGAAGAAAAAACACGAACTCTAGCACAGCCATCGTGTGAGCATCCAAACCCTCATCTCAAACCGTTAATCTGAGTCCCTTCTACAAATCGACCCACCAAGCCAGACCGTTCCCTGATTTCGGTTAAACCATCAAGCTTTAATCCTCACCCATGGTTCATTAAGTGAGTGATTCAACCTACACACTGACCCTAGCCATTTTGCTAGCTACAGAAAAAGCCAAACACTACCCATAACTGATTTGGTGAGCTGGAGTTTGTTAGGAATGTTGGCTGGAGATTCTTTTGGAGTGCGTTGCTACCCTAGCAAAGGAAACGCATGATTGGGAAGAGCGTGGAGCACACGTGCTGGCTGAGGTGTGAACCATTCTGCATGAAAGAGCTTCAGCTATAAAAGGAGGAAGAAAAAGCATTGTAGGGCTCTTCTCTCTTCTCTTCGTCTCTTTGGATTTATTTTTACTGATTCCGTTCTGATTTTAAGGATTTTAATTTTTGTAATTTTCTGAGTACTGTTGTAGCAGAGTTATTCTCTTGATATAGCTTCTGCCTTTTAATTTTCTTTGTTCGTGGGTTTTAAATTCCTGTTTGTAATTTCTCTTTACTGTTTTACATGCTCATAAACCCATGGTGATGAGCTAAATTTCTTTCGAGTTGGGTTGAAAGAGTACCCATAACTCATTTGTTATTAGTTGTTGTTTTAAAGCTTAAAGTATTAATTTCCAGTTTGTTTACTGTGTGTTTTTCATGCTGAGTTTGAGATGTGATGGCCACACATAGGCTACTCCTAGTGGTGTGAAATTATTGGGAAATAACCCACACTAGACCTCACAGTAAGCACATGGAAAGTTGAGTGAGATATCTCTCAATGGGTATGGCTCCAGGGATGAAGTTACCCCCATGTAACTTAAGGAAATGGTGCTTCAAGGTCTTGTACTAATGGATACACAGGGATGTGTCATCTGTTATCTATGGGGGAAAAATCGTTGTTGGGAAACAATGGTTGTTTGTGTATTTTCGTTAAGCTGGAACTGTTGAAAAAGCAACATCTATTTTCTGTCAAAGCAACTTAATAGCAAATGAGGGAAGGGAAAATTGAAATCCAACTTGTTTTCAAACACTGTTTTTAAATCAATCTTTGTTGCTACTTCTTATTTTTGTTCAAATCAGAATTTTAATTTTCTGTTCTACTACTTGAGAGAAAATCATAAAAAATATATATAAATGCTTCTATTTAATTAATTTCCAGTCAGTAATTCAACTTCTTGCATCAACTGAATCTCTATTTGAAAAAGAAAATCTTCTCAAAAATATTTTTCTTGCACTTCGTTTAGAATAACAGTTCACTTAATTTGATTTTATTTTATTTTTGGTTCTGATTAGTAATTACAATTTTAGTCAAGTCAAAAACGCCAAAGATCCTTGTGGGAACGATAACTGGGACTCACAAAAGCCCTATATTACTTGTTGTCGCGTATACTTGCGCACGCAACAACTCCAACTAAGCAAATTCAAGAGTATAAATTCCTGCTTAATACCATTTTCAATTTTTGTTTTTTTATTCAGTTTGCAACTATAGTGTCACATGCAATAGGAAAAAAAAAACCTTAAATTTATAGACGTTTGCTTTTACTTGCCCTTTAGGAAAGGCATTATATATTGGAAAATTAAGTAATGAATGTGTGAAATGACAAGCGGATGGAGTTCAAGTCACAGTTTTCTCCAATTTCTAAGAATTTTTTGTTTCCCAAAATTCAAATTATTTTAGGTAACTTTACAAAATCTAGTATCAATGTGACATGTGTACAGGTACAAGCTTCCTTCATGGGCGATGTTTGAACTTGGGAGGGCTGCTGTCTATTGGAAAACCATGAATGGCCTCCCTCCTACTTCAGTATGAGACAGTATTGAGTCAACTCATTATGAGTTACTTGATCAGCTTTTGGTAATTATTTTTACAAATTTTGGTAGGGAGAAAAGCTAAAACTTTTCTATAATCCAGCTGCAACTCAATTTGCCCCTAGTGAAGAATTTGGAATTGCTTTTAATGGTAATTTTTGTGATGTCCCTTGGTTGCCAAAACATGTCATTTTTTCGTAGGAAAAAATGTGTGTCATTTTAAAGGAAGTAAAGTTATGTCATTTTAAGAGAGAGAAAGAGATAGATAAAAGAGGAGAGAGAGTTGACAAAAAAACAAAGGTGTGAGTCTCACCTCTTTTTGAGAGTGAAAGAATATAAGTTGTGTCATTTAAAAGGATAAACACTTTTCCTTTTTCCATAACATTTATGAGGTTTATTAGTATCAAGTGACTGTAAAACAAAAGTTGATTCGTGCCCTCACATGCAAAAGCGAGACCCACTAGGTGAAACAAAAAAAACAAAAGAAGAAAGAATAGCGCACTTACCGATGTGAGAGCAGGAAACAAAATGACTTTGCTGTTACTTGATACAAATAAAACCCAACATTTATATGTCAAAAGATTTGGATCCATCATACATACAGTATTTCAAGAACAAGTGATATAATAATTCCAAATTGTAATTCAGAATTGCCATGGTATGTTTGTGTTGGAAATCGACAATCAAACACAAATCGCAAATAAAAAGAGAAAGAGAGAGAATTGACAGAGTGATTTACCCTGATTCACCCAATGTAGGCTAAGTCCAGCTTGTCTGTACTATATTTACTTCACCGCCACTTGTTACAAGTCACTCAGATTATAAGGAGAATATAAATAGAATTAGAAAACCCTAACAACAGCTATTCATGATCCCAAACTCAAACCACTAAGAAAAATAAAAATTATAATAAATAAGAGGCTCATTGCCTTTATGCTGACCCAATAACAAAGGCTCTCAGCAGGAGAAATATGAGTCGTACGAACAGTTTGTAGTCCTTGAAACAAATTTGGAAAGATCATGGGAATTGTGTGTCTGAAAACATCAACTTTAAGTATTGGAAGATGTTGAGCCTCAAGAAAGGTTTCGTCGTACATTAATTTCTTCTATTCAGGGGAGTCAATTATGTGTGGTGCTCAGAAAAGATCGAGGCAAAGCGGATTCCCCAATATATACCATTCAAATATTCATTCATTCCTAAGTATGGTAGTATGGTATTCTTATTTCTCAATCTATTTTGCTGATGAAATCATTCAATGTCTTCTTGTTAACTTCTCTTTTTTGTGCAGCTCTGAGCTTGATCTTCTCATTTACAAATGGAGTAGATAGTGATGGTCTTATATACTGCAGTTTCAAGTTCCCCATGGGTTTCCGGAACAAGCCAATAGAATTCTTTAATCAAGTAAATATGCATACCTTTTCTCTTTGAATCAATTGCCTCTAGCTTAATATAGAAATCTTTCTAGATTAATAATCAAACTCACATTATTACTTTTGAAGAAATAAGAAAAAGTAAATATCCATATATCTTTGTTAGTCTTATATTTGATTTTAAAATTACTAAATTTTCATTCTAAACAGAAGTTGGTGGCAAAACTTTAGTAATGTAGCCCAAAACATAACATTATTCAAGTCCAAAGGAGTCTTATTTATTATTTTTATTTGACAATATTAGAGCTTGGAAGAATTTACTGCAACAAATTTGACGCAAATGTGTAATTAAAGAAACTGAATATGTAAAAATTGAATCTTTTTTAACAATATTTGATACGAGCCTAAGGTGCATTAATAATTCTTGTGTGGCAGGGCTTGGCAGAGGAACAAGCAATCTTTCCACACACAAATAAAGCAATCTTTCCATGATTTTTGTGATGCACAGTTGAGCTCTTTACTGTGCGGAAAAATTTAATATGGTCCAAGCCTATCACTTATTTAGTGGTCCTTTTTTTTTTATGAACAATTTTCTTTCATTTTTATTCCTCTTTTTTTTTCTCTCATTCAATTCCTCTTCTTTTCTTTTTTTTCTATTTTGGGAATAGACTACCATGGTCCAGACCCATAAAAAAATTTCTACAAAGTATCGCACCGGGTTGATACTCAACTCAAGAGGGGCAAAGAGCATCCCGTGAGAAAAAAGAATTCGCTCGTCAGAAGAGCGTACAAGTCTACAAAAGCGCACTCATAGCTTCATCCCGACTACCCGGATACCCAGGTAGCCCGGCTGAGGGGCAACTGTTATGGACCCATATGATGGGCCCATTAAGTAGTAAGCCCAACAAGGGGCAATCCAAGATATGGATTGATGCTAGTCAAATCCTACTAATCTTAGTGTCAGCACAGCTATCCACTTGATGTGTCAGCATAGCTATCCAAACTATCTACAGTTAAACTCTATAAATGTTGTAAATAATATTGATTTAGTTATTATTTAGTTTTTATTTAGTCATTTATTGTTGTATTGGGCCAAGCCCTTTGTTGTATTGGGCCAAGCCCATTAGGTTAAAAGTAGGTCAAATATTCTCTATAAATAGAGAACCCTTTGTACAGATTATTTACACAATTCTATAATATATTAGAATACCCTTTTTCAAGTTGGTATCAGAGCTCTCGATCTGAGGGCTTTGCTTCCGCACATATTATCGTCTTTTTTAACAAAACCCTAATTTCTTTGCCTCTTGCCGCCATTAGCCGCCACCGGAAAATTTTTCCGGGGACCTTTTGGACCAAGGGGACCATTGTTGACCTTATTTTTCCTCCGATCTATCATTCTACGCAGTGTTCCTCCGCCACAAACGACCGAAACACCTCCGATCGCCTCCAATCAGATCTGTCTTCACCGTTTGGACCACTTTCCGGCGACTTTTCAACCGCGACCACCCACAGACAGGTGTGCGCTCACCGGACGACCACACCAGAAAAATCTCAGCCGGCGAAGCCCATCCACGCGCTCTCACGCGCCGCCCCTTTCCCGGCGAGTGAATCCCACGCGCAGCTCCTTTCTCCGGCGCGTGGAGGCGCGTGCGGCCGTGTTTTTGGACCGGACCACCACCATTCTTCTCGTCTTCTTGTCTTCTGTCTGGATCTATAATTATTTTTCTGATCAGAGGTCATTTGATATTCTGTTTGGTTGATTTTATCGCTGGTTGTTAACTTTTTTTGTTAAAGAATGGCTGAGCATGATAGTTCTTCGATCTTATCTGGTAAGAGCACACATTCTATATCTCTTCTTGCTTCTTGCACTGATTTTAAAACCTCATGGATTTTGGATTCTGGTGCAACTGATCATATGGCTTGTCGTACTGAGTTATTTTGTTCTTATCATCCTACTGTTGGTAGTCATACTATATCCGTAGCTGATGGATCCCATAAATCAGTTATTGGTTCTGGTAACATTCAAATTCAACCTTCCTTGTTTCTTAAAAATGTTCTTTATGTTCCTCAGCTTTCTACTAATCTTATCTCCACTCAAAAACTTACAACTGATTTGAATTGTTCTATCACATTTTTTCCTTCTCATTGTCTTATTCAGGATCTTACCACGAAGAAGACAATTGGAGTTGCTAATGAACAGGATGGGTTGTATCATCTCCTTCCAGACCATGCTAGCAAAAATCAGTTATTAATGACACGTCATCCTTCTACTGCAGAGTCTATGATTTGGCTCCATCACAAGCGTCTCGGGCATCCACCATTTAGTCTTTTGAAGTCTATGTTCCCCTCTCTGTTTCTCAATAAGTCGGTTGAGACCTTTCATTGTGATGTTTGTGAATTTGCAAAACACCATCGAGTGTCATTTCCTTCTAGCACTATTAAAAGCAGAGAAACTTTTTCTCTTATCCATTCTGATGTTTGGGGCCCTTCTAAAGTGCACAGTGTTTCAGGTGCTAGGTGGTTTGTTTCTTTTATTGACGATTGTACTCGGATAACATGGATATACTTGATGAAAGACAAGTCTGAAGTACCAGAGATATTTATTCGGTTTCATCACATGGTTGAGACTCAGTTTGGTAAGGGTATTAAAAGACTCAGATCTGATAATGGTACTGAGTACGTCAATCAACGCCTGTCACAATTCATTTCAGACAGAGGTATGATTCATGAGCTCACATGTGTTGATACCCCTCAACAAAACGGGGTTGCTGAAAGGAAAAATCGTCACCTTCTTGAAGTTGCTAGAGCACTACTTTTTCAGACATCTGTTCCTAGTTCTTATTGGGGAGAAGCAGTATTAGCTGCAACTTTTTTGATCAACCGTTTACCTTCACGGGTCCTTAACAATATCAGTCCTATTCATTCCATGACTTCCTTCTTTCCTTCTGTTCCCATATTGCAGAGCCTTCCACCAAGAGTGTTTGGATGTGTTGCCTTTGTCCATGTTCATAAACAACATCGGAGTAAGTTGGATCCTAGGGCTCTTAAGTGTGTCTTCCTTGGTTATAACCCTTATAAAAAAGGGTACAAGTGTTATCATCCACCAAGTCGGAAATTTTTTGTTTCTATGGATGTCACCTTTCAAGAATCTGAATCTTATTTCCTGGGTCCTCATCGTCAGGGGGAGAATAGTTCTTCAGAAGACTCGTCCCCTTCCTTCTTTGAGTCTGGATCAATCTTCTCTCTTCCTAGTGTGTCTGCTCCTGGTGTGTCAGAACCTTCAAATACACCTGAGATACAACCCATACTGTCTCACCAGCAACCTCAATCGTCTGAACCACTGGTAAGTCCTGAATCTCCTATTTCTTCTGAATCTCCTGTTTCTGATTCTAATATTATTTCCTCTCATGATTTGTCTATTTCTTCTGATATCTCTAATGACTTACCCATTGCTTCTACTTCTGATGACTTACCTATTGCTCTTAGAAAAGGAAAAAGATCTTGTCACAAGAAAACTTGTTCCTCTTGTCCCTCTTGTACTCAATACCCTATCTCCCACTTTGTTTCCTCTGCTAATCTTTCTGTGCAGCACAAAAGCTTTGTTTCAGCATTAGATTCTATTGCAATCCCAAAATCAGTACATGAAGCCTTGAAAGATAGGAATTGGGCTCAAGCCATGCAAGAGGAGATGAATGCTTTGGAGAAAAATAAAACATGGGAGGTTATTGATAGACCCAACGGAAAGAAAGCAGTAGGGTGCAGATGGGTTTATACCCTGAAATATAATTCTGATGGCACTCTTGAGAGATATAAGGCTCGATTAGTGGCCAAAGGTTACACTCAAACCTATGGCATTGATTACGAAGAAACCTTTGCTCCAGTTGCAAAGATGAATACAGTGAGAATCTTGTTATCCCTTGCTGCCCATTACAATTGGGATATAAATCAATTTGATGTGAAAAATGCTTTCCTCAATGGTGAGTTAGAAGAAGAAGTCTACATGGAAATCCCGCCTGGTTTTGATTCTATGAAGGGGGAAAATAAAGTTTGTAGATTAAAAAAGGCCTTGTATGGATTGAAGCAGTCACCTCGTGCTTGGTTTGGAAGATTTACTAAGGTTATGATGACCTTAGGATACAGACAGAGCCAAGGAGATCACACTCTTTTCTTCAAGCACTCCCAAAATGGGAAGCTTACTGTGCTCCTTGTATATGTTGATGATATTATTATCACAGGTGATGATTTTGTGGAGAGACAGATTCTGCAAACACGGCTTGCCTCTGAGTTTGAAATCAAAGACCTTGGGAAACTGAGATATTTCCTAGGGATAGAAGTAGCTCATTCAAGCAAAGGAATTTTTATCAGCCAGAGGAAATATGTTCTTGATCTTCTCAAAGAAGCAGGAAAGCTCGGGTGTAAACCCTCTAATACTCCTATTGAGCAGAATCACAAGATGGGCTATGAAGAAGAGAGTCCTCCAGTTGATAAAGGACAATATCAACGGCTAGTTGGGAAATTGATATATCTGGCCCATACTAGACCAGACCTAGCTTATGCTGTTAGTGTTGTCAGTCAGTTTATGCACGATCCAAAAGAAAAACACATGCAGGCAGTAGAGAGAATTCTTCAGTATCTTAAAGGTACTCCTGGTAAAGGATTGTTATTCCGACGTGATGGCAATCTATCTTTAGAAGTCTACACAGATGCTGATTATGCTGGATCCGTGACTGATCGTCGTTCTACCACTGGTTATTGCATGTTTCTTTGCAGTAACTTGGTGACATGGAGAAGTAAGAAACAAGATGTGGTTGCCAGATCAAGTGCAGAAGCTGAATTTCGAGCTATGGCTCAAGGCATTTCTGAGTTACTGTGGCTGAAAATTGTTCTTGATGATCTCAAAATAAAATGTGAGGGACCTATAAAACTGCTATGTGATAATAAGTCCGCTATTTGTATAGCTCATAATCCAGTTCAACATGATCGGACTAAACATATTGAGGTTGACCGCCATTTCATCAAAGAGAAACTTGATAGCGGGTTGATTACCACTCCATACAT